CCTCATTTGCGTTAAATCGTGTCAATTTTTATAAATAAAACAGTTTGGACCTAAATTAAGTCTAAGGACTGCATGTTCTGTTATAGAAACAATAGATATAAATTATACGCAGCAGGAGAAAACAAACGCAGTGTAAAAAAAATGAAAAAATAAATGCAGGAAGGAAAAAAACAGTCCAGATTAAAAAACAGACAGAAGCAAAAAAAAATTAGAAAAAGGCAATAACTAATCACATTAAAAAACATCCAGATAAAAATTAATAATACAAAAGGGGAAAACAAACACAGACTAAAAACAAAAAAAAACATATAGAAAAACAATATACATAAAAAATACAAACGCACTTACAAAATACAAACACACACTTAGAAAATACAAACACACATAGAAAATACAAACACACATAGAAAATACAAATACACATAGAAAATACAAACACACATAGAAAATACAAATACACATAGAAAATACAAGCACACATAGAAAATACAAACACACATCGAAAATACAAACACACAAAGAAAATACAAACATACATCGAAAATACAAAGACACATAGAAAATTCAAACACACATAGAAAATACAAAAACACATAAAAATACAAACACGTACATAGAAAATACAAACACACATAGAAAATACAAACACACATAGAAAATACAAAAAAACATATAAGACCAAAAACACACACAGAAAATACAAAAACATATAGAAAATACAAACACACATAGAAAAAATAAACACACAGAGGAAGGCAAACACACTTAGAAAAAATAAAAACGCAGAGGAAGGCAAACACACCTAGAAAAAATAAACGCACAGAGGAAGGCAAACACACCTAGAAAGAATAAACACACAGAGGAAGGCAATCACACCTAGAAAAAATAAACACAGAGGAAGGCAAACACACCTAGAAAAAATAAACACACAGAGAAAGGCAAACACACATAGAAAAAATAAACACAGAGGAAGGCAAACACACCTAGAAAAAATAAACACACAGGGAAAGGCAAACACACATAGAAAAAATAAACACACAGGAAGGCAAACACACCTAGAAAAAATAAACACACAGAGGAAGGCAAACACACAGAGAAAAAATAAACTCAGAGGAAGACAAACACACATAGAAAAAAACATTGATAGAAAATACAAAGAGATAAAAATAAAGGAAAACCCAAATCGTAAATAAAAATAACTAAATGAGAGAAAAAAAATCAAATAAAAATGGGACAAAGAAAACAAAACATATACAAATGAGGACTTTGAACGTGAAATGGAAAGCACCGCAAATACAGAAAATCAAATCAAACACATGCTAAACTAAACGTTTGGCCGGTCCGTACTGCAGTGATCTGAAGTTTTCCGTTGTGGGTTTCTGTAGAGAGTGGCAGGGGAAAATACGTATAAAACAAACCCAGAACGAGTGAACAAGTTTAAGAAGGAAAAATGGAACAATAACAAAATTTGAAAATAAGATTAGTTTCAGGAATTAGTGAGACTACTTGAAGCAACAAGTCTCTTTAACATTGTTTAGCAATACAAGTATCTTTGTAAATTATTTAGTTAAATACACATTGTTACTATTCTTTATTTCATAGGTTGTCAATACATAATAGGTTGTCAATACATAATAGGTTGTCAATACATAATAGTGTGTCGATAAATAATAGGTTGTCAATAAATAATAGTGGTTGTCAATACATAATAGGTTGTCAATACATAATAGGTTGTCAATACATAATAGGTTGTCAATACATAATAGTGTGTCGATAAATAATAGGTTGTCAATAAATAATAGTTTGTCAATAAATAATAGGTTGACAATACATAATAGGTTGTCAATACAAGATATTTAAACTTTTTCTGTGGTTCTATCTTTGTAATCTTTGAACCCACTTAAAATGAGAGCAAATTTCATGTTTTTAAAAATAGTAAATTTTTCCGAAGGGTTCTTGGGAAGAATATTTAATATGCCACCAAATAAATTTGCTTTATCATACATTGGACGTAGTCTCAAAGCTAGAAAATTGCTACATTTGACATTTTCCTTATGTTAAGATTCGAGTAATTCCCAGGCATTCTCTTGGTTAAATGGTTCCAGGATATCTGTAGAATATTCTAGACTTGATGACTCATTGCAATACTGATTTCACTGGAAGCTTGGATTTCGTTGGGGATTCACAGGATTCTGGTTTAGATTCAGGGAAACAGAGTATGACGGGACAGGCAGGGTAGGATAGGCTTGGGTTAGTATGGAGTTAATTTAAAAAATAATCAGTTTTGAAAATGATAAAACAAGAATGAATACTGACTTCTATACATTGCTATTGACGTCATGCATATTGTACCTATTATTCACATATATATATATAAAGTTGTAATCTCTGTTTGTTTGTTTGTATGTTAGATAATGTCACAGGAACCGATTTGCCTAAAATTTTGACTGGGAAAATTTGTAGAAGCACGAAAATGTTCTTAGCTAGGTTTGAAATGTCTAGGTTTACACTTATTTCCAAGCCAAGCTGGGTTCCTAGGCTAGTTTATTATAATCATGGATCTTGTAAAAACAGCTTTTATTTTTTATTTTCATTTAAATATTCATTTATCGTTAATATGCATATTTTCAATCTTTTACTTTCAAAATTACAGTTTTGCTCCGAATAGTAAAAAAGAAAGCTGAATATACGCATCTGTATACATGATGAACCCTAGTGCGTCTCTCTTCAATAGTTTGACTCAGCAGTTTCTTGGTATCTTGGGTCTGCAGTCTATAAACAGCTAGGAATACAGTTGAAGGGATTGTAAATGTAATTAAACCTGGATCTGTAGAAGTGTAATGTCGATTCACAAATATCTCCGTTAAACTTTGATAAATAAGAAGTGATTTCGACGATATCGTAGTTTTTTGAATAGTTGGATCCAAGGTTATAATGCAAGGAAAGTTATTTCAGAGGTGTACGCATCTTTTGTACTGCAGTGTACTATCTCTGGGAGGTAATGTAAACAAAAGACGGATGTTGAAGCCTCACATGGGATCCATCTTTCACATAAAAAATCAATATTCTGGTCATAGGAAACTATTATGTGAATTATCAAAATTATCAAAATTTAATGCTTTTAACCTCCTCGGATACTAAACGAACACTGATGTATCTATTCTTGTTTACAAATTCCGCCCAGAGAGAACTGGTTTCAATATGTGCGCAGAGTATACGCAACGGCAATTAACTTTCCTTACATTATAACCTTGCAAAAAACTATGAAAGTGATGTATCAAAATATAACACTGGATTGACTTTGAACTATTACCTTGGTTGGATCTGTGTACGCAGCGTTCTTGAAAATATTCTAATCGTTTAAAGGATTAAAAGTTTAAAGGAAGTGACCGGCTATGAAAGGTAGTTGAACTGAGTATGCAGTGTTGTGGAAAACTTCTTTCGGATTTATTTGAGACATATTAAACTTTTTAAAGATCTATAAATCCTGAGTTTGAGCGCAAATTCGACGTTCAAAACTCCTACTTTGGGGGTGGATACGTTTTCAGAATTAGTTTTTTTTTAAATTATTAAATAACGACAACGAAAACTAAAGTAAAAATTATACAGTAATCTAATTAGATGGTTAGGAACATATTTCTCAAAAGAAATTTGTCAATAAATCAATGCTAAAATCGATTATTACGTTTTCATTATTATATTGAATTTCTTTTTTTCTTTGAATTTCTTCGCAGATTTCTTCAAATTCCTCAAATGTCGTCTTTTCAATAATAATTTTAAAAAATCTGTGAAGATCTTTATGAATAATGAGGAACCAGAATAATGAGAAAATAGAAACTAATAATTAAACAAGATTACTTATTTTCGATGATAAGATTAATTTTTATTCTCTCAACATGTTCCTATACATGACGTCTGTAGTTTATTGTAAAACTTTTTTTAAATTTTATGTCGTCGGTATTTAATAATTAAAAAAACTAATTCTGAAAACGTATCCACCCCCAAACTTGGAGTTTCGAACGTCGAATTTGCGTTCAAACTCAGGATTTACAGATCTTTAAAAAGTTTAATATGCCTCAAATGAATCCGAAAGAAGTGATATATTTTAAATAAGATTTCGTTTATTTAGTTTTGAATGTGTAACTGTGATTAAGTCCAGTCATTTTAATATTAGAATTAGAATTAATCTTTTATAACAATAATTTTAAAGATTTTCTCAAGTACAGGGTGTCCCAGGGTGTCTTTCCTATACTGTAATAGTTATTAAAGACTTTTTGCATTTTTTCGTTCAATAAAATCTTTTGCTAAAATATATTTTACTTAGAAATCAATTTAAGTATAATATGACTACCATTAAATATTCTTATAATTCTCTTTGGTATTAATCAACTTAGGAAATTATGGAAGAAGACATTTTAAATTTTTCACCAACTGTCATGTTTCTTGGGACACTCTGTAGATAAATGCTATTTATCTTGATTTGATTTTTAAGTGTCGGATGAGCCTACCTTTAAATGTTAATAATTTATAGTATTTTGCTCTTAGGAAAATTAATTCTTCAGGAATGACCATATATTTATATATTTAGTCATGCAACGTCATTTTTTCCATATGACCCCCCTCCCATGAAAGCAATGGAAGTTTACAACATCTAATAGAAAAATGACAAATAGGTAAAATAACATGCAGAACAATTTACATAAAGAGCAAATTTTAGATCTATAAGAGCAACAATTAAAAATACATATGTTTTATTTTCATAAAAGGATTCACAGTTGATTTGGGGAAGGGATAAGGGTTAAGGGGGGGAGGAAAGGGGAGGGCAGGAGGAGGAATTAGGGTTGAATAGAGCGGGATGTAGACAGGGTGTGGGGGGGAAGAGATAGACGGTCGCAATAGTTGCACAGCTGAGAAACCCTTCAGGGCACCTGTAAATCCCAAATTTGTAGGTTTCATTATGTACACAATTCCGGGAAATTTTCCGCTGCTTTGGTGTCTTCACCCTGTACTTTGACCAGGGATAGATAATCTTCATTTTCTGAAGAAAAATCTTCTCTCAGCATTATGCTATTTTTTCCCAGTTCTTATTCTTAATAAACTGTTTGGCGGATTTTGTGAGGGTTACTCATCCCTGCGCACCTGTGTAGGACTTCTATTAAACACAACGATCCCATAGAATTCATCAGTCAAAAAGAGACCATCAACCTGTTAGTGCGTGCAACTATGAAGTTTAGTAGTCCTAGTACCGTAGTTCAGGGATGGATTGGAAAAGTCTACTCCAGAGATGATACTAAACTAGAACCTCCGAAGGAGGGGGAGGAGAAGAAAGAGGAGGTGGTTGTGGAGGAGGAGGATGGAGATGGAAGACAGCAATGGAGCAATCCAATTGAATTTCTTCTCTCATGTATCTCCATGTCTGTTGGACTCGGGAATGTTTGGAGGTTTCCCTTTACAGCTTATGACAATGGAGGAGGAGCGTTTATAATTCCATATCTTATTGTCTTGTTCTTTATAGGCCGACCATTTTATTTATTAGAACTGAGCTTGGGACAGTTTGCAAGCAGTGGTTGTGTAAAAGTCTGGGATTTGATTCCTCCATTTCGTGGAATAGGATATGCACAAAGCTTTGCTACTTTCCTAGTGTGTTCCTACTACTGTGTACTCATTGCTATCTCAGCTTTCTACTTTTTCGCCTCTTTCCAGACAACCCTTCCGTGGACAGTGTGCCATGAAGAACTAGGAATAAACTCCTCCACAATATGTCTGGCCTCCAACACCAACATGTCCGACCTTAACATCACAGAGGAGAATGTGACAGTGATTGCATCCACAGAGCAGTATTTTAAGAAAGGTGTACTCAAGGAGAACCCTGATATTACAGATGGTATCGGAGCCCCAGATCCATATCTGTTTGGTTGTCTACTTCTTTGCTGGCTTATGATCTACTTCACACTGAGAAAAGGAGTTGCAAGCTCAGGAAAAGTTGCGTATTTTACCGCGATTTTCCCGTATTTGGTCATGTTTGCTCTGCTAGTCAGAGGACTAACCCTACCTGGGAGTACAGATGGTATTCTCTTCCTTTTTACTCCTCAATGGGAAAAACTATATGATCCTCAGGTTTGGTATGCAGCAGTAACTCAATCCTTCTTCTCTCTAAGTATTGGGTTCGGATCCCTTACAACCTTCTCCTCATACAACAGCTTCAGGCACAACATCTACAGAGACGCCATTATCATATCCATAGCTGATACCTTCACCTCCCTCCTAGCTGGAGTTATCACATTCTCAATCTTGGGACATCTGGCCCACGAGCTGGGACAGCCTGTCAAAGATGTAGTTAAGTCTGGAGCTGGTCTAGCCTTTATCAGTTATCCAGAAGTGATCTCCAAGTTTGATTTCTGTCCCCAGCTGTTTGCAGTTCTTTTCTTTCTTATGCTGATCACTCTTGGTCTAGGTTCTGCCACTGGTTTGATCAACACTGTCATCACTGTCATAAGTGATGAGTTCCCAAACATCTCCAAGGATCTTATCACAGGGATAGTTTGTGTGGTCGGGTTGGTCTCTGGGTTGGTTTACATTACACCAGGTGGGCAGCCTATCCTGGAGCTGGTTGATTACTACGGAGGAAGTCTTCTCATCCTCATCCTCGCCGTAATAGAGATCATTGCCCTCGCGTACATTTACAAAACCTCTACTCTCATCAGAGACTTCAACTTCATGATGAACAGGAAGCTTGGAATATTCTGGAAATTCTGTTGGAGCTTCTTTATCCCTGTAGCCCTGTCCCTCATCCTGGCTTATACCCTGATATTCTACAAGCCTGTAGCCTACTCCAAAGTTGAACTCCCTGTGGAAGCCCAGGTTGCAGGTTGGATGCTAACTGCTGCCGGAGTAGCATTTTCTCTGGGTTACTTCCTTCATACCATCTTTAGATCCTACTTCCCATCCAACAAGGTCGGAGTAGAACAATCTAAACAGGACAGAGTTCCTGAGAAGGTTGTGGATAAGGAAGAGGAGAAAAATATCTTTAAACTCATTAAATCTGCTTTTAACCCCCTGATCTCATGGGGGCCTTCTAGCCTACGTGATAGGCTGGATTGGGTTGGAGTTATTGAACGTGAAAACAGCAAAGAACGAATCAGTATTAGAACAAAATTGAACAATCTTGTTGCTTGTATTAGATCGTTTCTTCGTTTGTGAGGACTGCTGAAAGGATGAGGAGCACAAATACCTGCTTTATCTGTGATATATTATATTTATACTATATTAACATTGAAATGTGCACTTTCTTGCACATTCTTTTAAAATATTTTTGTTGTTAATTACATATATGCCATATTTCTGTATGACAAAACAATAAAAAATAATTATTGCAAAGAGACTTGTTTACTAAAACTGTAAATAAACTGTTTTGAAATGTAAAATTTCTTGATCTCCGATTAGTTTTGTAAATAAATATTGTTCCTTGTATATAACGTTGGTAGAATTGGTTGGAAAGTGGAGATATTCTAAACTTACAATGAAACCTACAAAGTTTGCTCTTTAAAAACAACCTTTACAAAAGATATTTTAAAGGTTCTGAAAGCGTAATTTAAAGTGACCCTCCATGTTAAGATGACAATGTCAGATTCTCAAAGAGAAACCTTGAAACCTTTATCTCATCAATAATGTGAAAGAAATTGTCGCTTTTCTAGTTTTAAAAGTGTTTAATTCAGATAATTTAAAAAATAATCAGTTTTGAAAATGATAAACGTTGGCGGCAGCTAATTCATACTTGATCAAACAAAGCCTTTACGGGTACAGCGGTTGTAAATTGGACATAGCTTTCTTTGCATGATGGATCACTTGAAATTACGCTTGCAAACCCTTAATTGCCAAAAATCATTTTCTGACAAGAAAAAAATATTTGCATCTAATAAGAGCATATTATGCAATGCATTTAAGAAAGAAAATAATTGTCATCCTCTAAGTTCTATAGTTTGTATGTGACCCTAAAGCTAAAAGATTGCAAGGATCCAAAATTTTTAACAAATAGTTTTGAGTTAAAGAATACTAGACTCGTTTTAAACTGAGCCTTTTATCTGATTTGATCGTGAGGATTTGGCTTAAATTTTTTTAAGGATTTTTTTTTGATTTTTAAAAAAAATGACCTGACTTAAGTTGTAAAATGAGGTATACTCTTTTTATGGAAATCAGTAGCATAATGATGGTCCATTATTTAAAAACTAATTTTGAAATATCTACCTGTTTATTGAAAGGTTTTTTATTAATCAACAAGATTTTTTATTCACATGAAATCGGATGTTACATAATGTTCTGCCACAATTAAATGTTCACGCAGAAAATAAGAATGAAAAAAAAATAAAAATTATAACATTTAACATAAATGCAAAGATTTCTTTATTGCGTACATTAGGATTTAGTGGAAAATAACATTCAACCTTTTTATGGCTCATTGTTGACACAAAAACAGTACACACTACTCACGGTTCAATTTACAGATTTTGTGAGATAAGCCACATTCTCGTTGATTTAGTGGATTTAGGTAGGGCTGGGCACGTTCCAACTTTTTCTAGCCGTTCCGTTAACGGTTAGTTCCAACTGTCAAAAAAAAATTCTTGTAACCGTTAATTTTATCATTAACGGTATTTACCGTTTTTTTAAATACCGTTAGTTATCGTTTAATATTTTATTAATTGGCGTTAATGATAAATTTTCAACAACCGTTAACGGCACCGTTGTTAAAAGTTTAAGAAATTGTTAGCGGCGCAGCCGTTAACAGTCCTTTACAATATTAACATATTATGAATAGATAACGGCGTAAAGAATCGAAAAAAAACGTTAACGGTTAAAGAAATCATTAACGGCACAGCCGTTTATGTCCTTCACAATATTAATGTGTTATGAAATCGTTAATGGGCAGCCATTAACGGTCTACTACAGTATTGACGGCAATAGCAGTTTAACTAGATTACTTAACGTTTTATGAAATAGTTAACAGCGCAGTAGTATTAACGGCACTAGCAGTTTAACTATATTTATCCTTCTCTGCGGGCTGATATTCAAATCAACTATATTTATCTGAGGAGAACCCAGATTTTGAAAACAGAAGATGGCATTTACAACCTTCAAAACACATTAAAACGTTTTTTTTACAATTTAAATTCAATTTAAGGTTGATAAACAATACAAAATTCACTGTTGAAAAAAAATACGTTCCGCTTTCGTTTTCGGCCATTATTTTTTTTCAAAAACGGCTAATCCGTTTTGTTTACGTTTGAAAAAATTAACGGTTTTTGCCGTTCGTTAACGGACACTTCCGTTAATTAATAATTATCGAAAACCTCCGTTTCGTTAATGGAACTTTGCCCAGCCCTAGATTTAGGTGACTTTTGAACATGACCTTTGCTTAAGTTATGTTTATAACATCAGTTTAAACGTAAAAACAGTCAATTTAAAGTTACTATGTGTGGGTGTATACGTTCTGAATTAGAACGCTTAGAGGTGTATAATATACTATACTCTTAAATTTTCCTATCCCTTTTGATATAAAAATACTTAGTTTAAAATATCTAAGGTCTAAGACTTTGGGAACTCAAGTCATTTCTCATACCAAGTACAAAAACTATACTTCAGCTAAATCTGTTTATTGATTCATCTTTATTGTAAACAAGCATTTTACACTGAATCATATGTTCAAATAAAGTTTAATGTTTTATTGCCTCCAAGTGTATATGATTCAAGATATGGAGGTTTTGAAAATGTCAACTTCATTTGAAAACCTGTTTTCGAAGTTTAATATCAAAGATATCGAAATATCAGAATATCAAGATATTATAAAGTATAGTATAGTATAGTATAGTATACTAGCCTTAGAGGGCGCTTCGCGTCCATTTTCAAAATTAATTATGAAAATGTGCTCTTTGTGTACATCGTAAAACAAAACAAAAATAATTCGCGGATTTTCACAAAAAATTTCGTGGATTTTCAAAATGTTCAAAAATTTAATGAAGATCGAATTTTGATGGAGACAAATATTTGAAATTTTGATCATTCATAAACCTTCCCTGGGGTCCCTAGATGTCCCACAAAAAATTTGGGCCCGATCGGTTCAGCCGTTTTGAAGTTTATTGGATACAAACAAACAGACAGACAAGCCAAATTTATATATAGATAAGGTATAGAAAATCAGTGCAGTTTCCGGCAAAAGCTCAATTCCTTTATCGTTTTATTTTTTTACATTTTTTAATTAATTTGATTAATAATAATATTAATGCAGTATTTTTTTGCATGACAAATCTAAAAACAAACCAATAATATAAGGAAAGCATTTCCTCAATATTGTGACATTTAAAGTTGTTTTACACTGCTGCGTAGTAAATTGTGTTTGATGGTTCATGAAGTAAATTTATATATTGTTCATCGAGGCGTAGCATCACAATCCTCACCGTATCTATAGATTCATTCTTATATATCTTCATTCTTTGTTTTGATTCGTAGATTCACCATAAGGGACCCTACGTTCATGTCATGTCTGATTCACAATGTTACCCACTAACGATAACAAATATGGAAGTTATCACCGTATTTATAGTTTGAAATCTGTTGAGAACTGGTAAAATCTGACAGTTTCTCTATTGTTTCTCCAACAAAATTTGATAGTAATTTTTACAGAGAAATCACAACTGAAAATTACCAATTATTAAAGAAAAAAATGTGAATATCTTATTTCATATTTGTTGAGACAAAGCGGATACGGTTTTAAACCGGACTACCACAATTGGAGAGTATTGTAGGGCAGGAGGGAATCCGGAATATCAAGAAAAATCTTTTAAAAAATAAATAATTTATCTTATTAGATGAGTAATATTTATTAAATATTGTCAGTCTATAATAAAGTTATGGTTATATAGTTCTACACCTTTCCTAATTCATATTACAGGTTTACCCAAAAAAGGAGTTCAGAGACGATTTTATAAAAATTCTGTCATATTTCTTTCTTTCATAGAACCCTGCAATTTAAACTTGTTTAAATCTTTGCCAGATCTTTTCAAAACTTGAAAAAACTACACAATTGTTCGAATTAAACCTTCACATTGGTATTTAAAAACAATTCCTGCTCGTCATTAAAATCTCATCCTTTTTTAATAACCCTGTATCTCCAAGATCGTAAACAAACCCCGCTTCCTTTAACCGTATACCTCCTTAAACAAACAATAACAGTAGTTTGTACTTTGTTCTGTTGCATTTAAACAGGTTTCATCGGTTTTATCATGGGCCCTGAAAACGCGCAAAAAATTATTGATATTGGAACACGCTACAAGCATTACTTAGGATTAGGGCCGAGGAGGGCATTTAAAGGAACTGTAAGCGTAACTTCGAGTGACTTAGCATGGACAAGATAGCAATGCACGATTTACAACGGTACCCCTTAAAACATTAATCTGTTCGCAAATGTCGGAGAAGGCGTTGTTTTTCTGATTTAAAAAGTGGTTGATCGTGATAATTTATCCATTGTTACTTAAAAGCAAGAAATGCGCAAAAGCCGTTTCTGCAGAGATTCCACAAATGAAAATAAACAGTTTAAATAAACTTAAAACAAAAATATCTAATTCATAATTTATCAGAAAAAACTTTTGAGGATGCCGGTGAATTCGGTCTCGGCCATCTTGTCATCTTTGCATGAAGGGTCACTTGAATTTACGCTTACAGTCCCTTTAACACCATAGTTTCAGTAGTAGTAAATATTTTCAATTACTGTTATTTCGCCAATATAAGGATTTATCTCTAATTGGATAATGAGCTAGATAGAAAGATAGATGGTACCGCCATACTATTTCTATTGGTTCAGAATAGACAACAAACACATGACTGAACCCAGATTGGATAAGGCGCTAATGGACTCGGCATACTATAATTAATGCCAATAAATAACAAAATAATTGTTTACTTATGTATTCAGTGGTCGGAATGTCTGTGATCTGCCGCTTGTTCTAGATTCAGAACCCTGTAAATACTCAGGAGGTAAATCTTCTATATATACAGAGTGTCCCAATAAACATAGGAATTGAGAGACGACTTGAAATCGTCCTTGATTTCTGATATTTAATGCATGTTAAAGAAAGTAAAAAAAAACGAAGCTGTACGTCTGACGAGCATTTAATAACGTTGTATATATATTATATATTATATATATTTCTTGTATCTTCAAAACTAACAAAGATATGAGATATTAAGACTATTCTGATTCATTAAATAAATACAAATTTGTACAAAGTTTGCAATATCCCGTCAATTTTGAAGATACAAAAATGGTATAGACTACATTTTGAAAATCTCCAGACCAGGTGTAACTGGAATACTGCAATAATTGTATTCTTGAAAAAATTCTTATGTATATTGTCCACTCTATGTGTATTCTTATATTTTGTACCTGCTGTCCACTCTATATATATTCTAATATCTTGTACCTGCTGTCCACTCTATATATATTCTAATATCTTAGTTGTTTATTTGTTGTAAAAAGAATACAATGTTTAGGTCTGGACAATGACGGAGAATCTCACGGTCCTGGTACAATCAACTTTCAGAAAACTGGTACTTTTCAGGTAAACATAAATAAGTTTAAACATAAAAAAGATACTTTTCTTAATCGTAAATTTAAATTTAAAATTTTTATGGTTTTCATTTCTAAAATTTTATTATTTTTTTTATCTTCTTTAAATAATAAAGCTCTTCGCTCCTATAAATATACCCCGGGGTTAACCCGGCCCGGGTATTTTTTCTTCAAAATTTGTTTTTTTTTAATTCAAAGGGCAATGCCTGTCACTTCAGCTTGTTATTTTTATTATCATTATTATTATCATCATTATGATTTTTATTTTCATTAAAGTTATTATTAGTAGTGTTATAACTAGGGTGTATTTTCTCATGGGTTGGAGAACAGAGAAGGGTTTAGGTATCTACCCGGAGATATTGCTAAAATATCAGGAACCTGGATAAGAGGAAAACTAGGTAGATTTCATACCTGGGGAGGGGGCGGGTTTGAATTGATATATCATTATTTTAAGTTGAGGATTTGTTATGTCTTTTTATTCTTAAACCTTTCAAGATTTCAAGTTCTCCCCCCTCCCCCTCCGCCCTCCCCGTGTTTTTAACTGATTACAAAGCAAAACAATCAAGGTTTGTTCATAATTTAAGAAATACACATAGAGAAAGAAAGGATAATAATACTACCACTCTATTTACATGTTTACAGTGTTAGATAAGTAAACATGTCGAGATGTACATCTGAGGTATGCTTTACCTCTTTTCTTTTCTCTATGGAAATACAAAGAAGAAAAAACAATTTAAAATCATATTTAGAGGGATATGCTAGAACAGAGATGCTGACTGGAGAATGGTTTGAAGGAGTTTATAAGGACGGAGAGAGACAAGGATTCTTCAGGTTGCAATATTCATAAATCTTTAGTCATTTTACATTTTTTTATATCTTTTAAATTTTTTAAATGTGTTATTTTTATATAAATCGGATTTATAAAACCTAAGTATAATTTGTTTCGCTTTATCCTTTTTTTCTGATCGTTGAATCGGTGTCGAAGTATGTTTAAACCAGATAATTTTAGAACAATTTTTAATTCTTATCTTCAAGGGTTAAAGGGACTAGAAAACCAGTAATAAATGGAGGTCGTCGAAAATATTCTTTTTAAAATTTGTTATTATTTATTTTTAAAGAGGTTTTTGAAAAATGACGCGTATCTAATATATTGAATAACTTAAATGGACATTGTAGATTTTTCCACCTTTATGGAAATTGTTCACTAAGTGATTACTTTAAGTTCCATTTAATTTGTAATTTTTATCCTATCAAATGGAAAACAATTGTTTGTTTAAACACTATCGTTAAAAAAAAAACGATCGTTTTTGATTTTCGCTTATGAATCTGAGTTTTACGGCCATTAATTTCATTTTTTTTTGTCATTAAGATAAGGTTATAAATGTTGTCTTAAATGTTTTTTTTTATCGAGGGAAAACACTTAAATGTTTTCTGACCTCGGATTTTCCGACCAAAAAATGTATTTTGTCTTAAAAATGTTGTAAACAATCGTTTACAAAGGGTCGTCTTTAACGGTCGGTAACAAAGGGTTTTCGATAAAGGTTGATAACTAAGGGTCGTTTTCAAAAACGATCGTTTCGTTTTTCCTTCTTCGTTTTAAAACGACAAGATCGTTTTTTAAATAAGTGAAAACGAGACATCCATCCCTTACTGAACAGTGTATTGGTTACACAGAACACAGTCTCCTGCTTTTTGGGATTCTCTGTATAAAAAGATTCTATGCTTTGTTTACTTTGTGTTCAAACAAACTTAAAAGTGAAAACGGGATTTACAGAATTATATTTTCTATTGCATGATCTATTTTGCCAACGCATTGCTGATCAATATTCCTAAAAGTTCAATAATTTTTTTAATGTTGTGCCCATACAATTTACTTTGAAAAACTGCAGTTGTCAAACAAAGTGTTTGTTTCATCTTTTCTATTTGTTCCAACTCTAAGAATGTAAATAATATACATATATATATATATCCACTATCTATATATAAATTTGGCTTGTCTGTCTGTTTGGGTGTTTGTTTGTCTGTCTGTTTGTATCCAATAAACGTCAAAACGGCTGAACCGATCGGGCCCAAATTTTTTGTGGGACATCTAGGGACCCAAGGGAAGGTTTATGAATGATCAGAATTTTAAAAATTTGTCTCCATCACAATTCGATCTTCAGTAAATTTTTTAAAATTTTGAAAATCCACGAAATTTTTTGTGAAAATCCGCGAATTATTTTTGTTTTGTTTTACGATGTACACAAAGAGAACATGTTCACAATTAATTTAGAAGATGGGCGCGAAGCGCCCTCTAAGGCTAGTTACTTTACATTTTTTTTCCTAAAATAAATAATTTTTCTCTATTCATTGTAGTTTTCCACTGTTTTCCGAAATGATTTTTTTTCTCAAATTTTTTTAATATTAACTCTTCAGAGCTGAAAACTTTAGAATGTGATATCCTTAATACCGATCGGTTAATCAATCTGGAGATTAATAACAAGAGGAGAACAAGTATACAAGAAAAAAAAGAAGATTAAGCATTGATCTCAATATCCACCATTCTAAAGTTTTCAGCTCAGCTTCAATAAAGCAGTCATACGAGGTCACACAAAAGATTTTAGGATTTAAAAAGTGAAAGTATTTTTTCTATTTTCAGGGAGTTTGGTATAGATAATCATTTAAAGGAATTTACCCGCTATCAAAGAAACAAAAGGTGTTTAAAACATTTTAAACATTTTTAAAATTCATACAAAAGAATTATTAGATTTTTAAAATATTTTTTTTCCTTTATTTGAGGGTTGGATGGACCTACGAAGGAAAACTAGGAGGGGGATATTTGATAGGTGAGTACTTATTATACCATAGGGAACATTTCTATAATGGTGACATTTAATCCAGCATTAAAATAACTAAGCAGAAAAGATTGAGGACGTTTCTTTTTTATATCTTGCACAAAAGGACTGTAAGCGTAATTTCAAGAAGGCAATGTGGACAACAGGACTCTTTAAACATTTCACAGTTCAAGATGCAAGGATGACAGAGAATTCCGTATCTATCTAGAGAGAAAATTTCGAGAGAAAAACGATAAATACATATTTATATTCTATTTTTAAAATAATTAGGATGAGCTTAAAAATGAAGTAAAAATGGAAGAATTATCAAGAATAACAAAATAAAATATAGTAACATTCCGAAAAGAATACAATAAAGTGAACACAAATTTAATGATGGTACAACTTCAGGCTTGTTGGATCATGATGGAAAGATGACAGGGGATAATATTATCTACATGTATCCTGACTTCCGAACCGGGCTCAGGTTAATATTATTTATATGCATCATAACTTCAGAACTAGTTCAGGTCAATATTATCTATGTGTCCTGACTACAGAACCGGGCTCAGGACAATATTATCTACATGTATCCTGACTACAGAACCGGGCTCAGGTCAATATTATATGAAATAAAACTAGCCAGTATCTTCGAATAAACTTTGTGTACAAACAAGCACGAGCAACTCTATCTGCTCAACCCGATGTTACGAATACAAAGTTTTACACATAGCTAACTTGATTTATTACATAAATATATGTATCCTGACTACAGAACCGGGCTCAGTTCAATATTATCTATATGTGTCCTGACATCAGGTTAATAATATCTAAATATATCCTAACTTCAGAACTAGACTCATGGCCGGGTCAGTATTATTTAATTGTATCCTGACTTCAGAACCGGGCTCAGGTCAGTATTATCTAGTTGTATCCTGACTTCAGAATCGGGCTCAGGTCAATATTATCTATATGTATCCTGACTACAGAACCAGGCTCAGGTCAATATTATCTATATGTATCCTGACTACAGAACCGGGCTCAGGTCAATATTATCTAGTTGTATCCTGACTTCAGAACCGGGCTCAGGTCAATATTATATATGTGAATCCTGACTTCAGTTTAAGATATCAAAGGTGTACACCATCAGGTAGCAAAGATATATACATTAAAATGTTTATGTCAAGAACTCTGCCTTAGACAACTGAAATTTCTAAATCTTCACTAATAACAGTATTTTTATCAATGCAAAAATGTTTAATAATTTACCGAGTTACTCCTCCCACTCTTTCATTTAAAAGTTCCAAATAAAGGATATAGAACTACATGTCCTCGTAGCTTTATTAAAGTACATTTAACTTTCCAGCCCTCTGTGTGAAAATTACCATGAGAAAAGCTTGCTTGCATCCAAAAACCAGCTGAACCAAAATTGTCCAAATTGTTTGTTTAGTCTTAAATAACCAGAATTTTAAATTTTGTCCCCCAAGAAAGTTAAAATCTCAAAATATTTGGCATTCCAAAAAAATGGAAAAAAAATTTGAAAGTATTTTGTTATTGTTTTAAACGAAACTTTTTGCCATTAAAGGCTAAAATACAAATAATAATGAATACACAAGAAGGGGCGTGAAGCACCCTGAGACAGAAAAATGAAATAAAATAATTTTTATAAAATAAAAACTATGTTTGATCCTGTGTATCCTCCCTAATCTGCACTATATACGCCTCTATACATTTCTATTGTTAGACGTCATGAATAGATGTTTTATACAAAATATTAATCTGTTAATGCAAAATCTATTTTTCAATTACTTTATATGAAAGCCCAGCAGAACTTTTCACAAAGCACGTAATTTTAGTTCTTTATTTTTTTTTAATATTTGTCCAACAAATGTTAGATCCTAGAAAAGCTTTTAAGAATATAATACATTTTTAAAATTGTGTATTCCAAATCTGCTTCTTTTCCGATGCAAAACAAGAATATCAAGTTTATTATAATTGTTTTATTTACATTGAGACCCATAAAACTGTGTAACAGAAAGAAGACAATTTATGATGATTAATGGCCCAATACCCTGAAACACAGCAATTATACACAAACCAATATCTTCTCAGTATAGGCTGGTATCTGTGCTATTGGTAAAACTAGAATGAAGTAGAGTATGAAATCTCCGAAAGAGGATTATAAAATCCGCAAATCAGTAGAGTTGGATCCTGGAACCAGAGAAGACCTACATATCTTCCTTTCCTTTAATACGCTCGTTATTTATCATGTATTTCTATTCAGAAGCAATAAATGTACTTCTGAAGCGGTGACCCCGAAGGGCACGTTTAATATCATATTAAAAACACACACGATTAATTAATTGCCGTCTTCCTTTTCCGTAGTTATGTGGGTTCTACTGTATATATTTTTTACAGGGGAAGTTTTCAAGATGGTGTTATGATATCTGCTCAACTGTCTACCATTCTATCTAGTGAGGTGAGAGTTCCTTTCTTCATTTTCCACATTATTGCTCAGATTTAGGTTTCAATTGATATTGTTGTAAATCAGACATGCCCCTCTGTTTTAACCCTATCTCTGCTGGTACTTGAAAACCAGGATATGCTAGGGGGGGTCATCAATTTGACCCCCCCTCTAAATCCCATGTTTGATGTCCAAATATGACAAATGATACATCAATGGAAAGGTCTTGTGCTCTACTTTTAGAATCTGCACAAAAATTTGCAAATCTGCAAAAATAAATTTTTTTATCGCAAAATCCAGTTATATAGTAAAAATGTTTGCAAAAAAAAATTGTCCAAAAAATGAAAAATTATACATTTTTGACCATGCCATTTCAAATATGCAAAAAATTTTCCAAAATTTTAAATAACCTGATTTTTAATCAAGAAAAACTAAAAATGTGCAAATTTCCTTTGACATGTTGTTTGCAAAAAATTTGCATTTTTTTCGAAAAATTTGTGCAATTCGTTTCCTTATGTCAAAGGCTTTCCAAAAAGCTAAATTTTATCAAAATCTGACAAGTGGAAGTTGGTCAAAACAAAGATTTAGTTTGTTACAGGAAAAAGTAGTCATTCAGGCAGTGTGCCTGAGGACTCAGGCAGTTAGGTATTAAAGCCCGGTTTTAGGCCTATAGGGAGGGCTTTGGGTATGTAGGAAAAGTCAGAAAATTTCAACAGCCTCATGTAAAATAAACTACAGGAATAGGGTTAAAGTAACGGTCAATAATATTACCTAATTTAAATCTATATTTTTTTTCTTCGAAATATTTCCTTGAATTTACAATTTTAACTGTCTCAATAAACATGAGAATTAATGGGAGGCAACTTAAATAATTCCAAAATACGGGTTCTCACTACCTTTGAATCTTTAGAAATTGCAGGGTGAAAAAGAGAAATTTTAGTTTATTTCAAAATATGGAAAAAAAATTTAAAACCTTTTTTGATTTTTTAAATGGCTGACCACATGTTGGAAATTCTAAGAACAGAGCTTGTCGATACTGGATACTAACAAGAGCTTGTCGATACTGGATACTAACAAGAGCTTGTCGATACTGGATACTAAAAAGAGCTTGTCGATACTGGATACTAACAAGAGCTTGTCGATACTGTTTACTAATAAGAGCTTGTCGATACTGGATACTAACAAGAGCTTGTCGATACTGTTTTGGGAAACCCTGTAGGGATTAAACATTACTCATTAGGATGTTTTGAAGGATTCTCTGTACGAAAAGATATTAAGCGTTGTTTCCTTTGTTTCCAAATAACTGTGATGGGAATTTTGGTTCGTTCAAAAAACTTTTAGTAAAACATCCAACATTTTAATATTGTATAATTCTGTGAATATTTGCTTTTTTTAAACTTTGCATTATAATCATTCTAAGAGATAAAAAGCAATAAAAACTTGGTTTTTTTATTTGTTTTTTTTTCATACGTTCTCTTCCAAGGTCAGAGTTTAGTATAGTGTAGTAAAAGAAAAGGAAATAATTTGAAAATTTTAAATTTTGAAAACGTTTACGATTTTTAAGTAACCTTTAAAAAGTCCAAAAAATTATATGCATGATCTATTTTGGCAACGCTTGGTTAAAGAGTCTGCGGTAAGTAAACTTTTAAAAGGATCGTTAACGAAAACATAACTTGGTTGATATTATTTTTTTTTTCTATAACAGGAGCTATAGGAGCTAGAGGCCTAACCCCTCTTTCTACTTGCGACCCAAATTTGTCCAGAGGAGGACGTGTTCATAATTTTGGTGTTAAAAATCTGTAATAAACAAGTAAAAGGAATAAGGCCTTGCAACAAAATCTGATTTTTTAATCCCTATATCTGAGCAACCCAAAGTATATTTCAAACTTAGTTTATTTGATCCAACATAAATCACAGTTTGAAATATCTAAGGTATACAACATTGGGTTGCAAAGATTTAGGGATAAGAAAACCAGAGTTTGTGGCAAAGACTCAATTCCTTTAGTTTAGCAACATTCATATTACCTTTGTTCCACGTTGAGACCGTTTTTGTCTGATAAAGGATCTGATTCTATACCCTTGTTTCCTAATCTTGAGATTTTCACGAACATTCACTTTAAAACCTGACTTTTCCTTTTGGCAACACAATTTGGTAAAAAAATGCGCAATCATTAATTGACACTGAACAAATATGTTTATTTAAGAATCTTTGGAATTTCCATATGAGTTCTTATTGTTCATTAGCTTGTATAAAAACAGTAAAGTTGTATCTGAAGTCTCATCCTTTGTGGGTAACCCTGTATCTGATCAATTATGAACCCTGTACAGGCCGTTTCTTGCTTGTCTTTACTGCAGGAATCCTCTACTTTATGTTTAATTCGCCTTTAGATTTTTTTATTTTGAGAAAAAAATCTATATTTTTCAAATAAAAATTTTAATAAAAGTTTCAACAATTAAGAAGTTGTCAATTGCACTTTAAAGGTAACATGAAAATAGATTCTAGTACAATATGACAACGTAGAATGTGTACACTTTTAATTCAATCTTGGAATTGTCCATTTCTCTGTTGCCAGTTGCCTATTGTTTTTGATAATCTATTTGGAAAATACTTTAACAATTGCTTTATTGGTGGTGGATTGTGTTAATAATCCCTTGTAAAGGAGGTGGATTGTGTTAATAATCCCTTGTAAAGGAGGTGGATGTTGTTAATAATCCCTTGTAAAGGAGACGGATGTTGTTAATAATCCCTTGTAAAGGAGGTGGATGTTGTAAATAATCCCTTGTAAAGGAGGTGGATAGTGTTAATAATCCCTTGTAAAGGAGGTGGATGTTGTTAATAATCCCTTGTAAAGGAGGTGGATAGTGTTAATAATCCCTTGTAAAGGAGGTGGATTGTGTTAATAATCCCTTGTAAAGGAGGTGGATTGTGTTAATAATCCCTTGTAAAGGAGGTGGATGTTGTTAATAATCCCTTGTAAAGGAGATGGATGTTGTTAATAATCCCTTGTAAAGGAGGTGGATGTTGTTAATAATCCCTTGTAAAGGAGGTGGATGTTGTTAATAATTCCTTGTAAAGGAGGTGGATGGAGTATGTATACCTGTACTGAGTGAACCTAAAAGTGAAGATATTTACTTCTTTGATCCAGGTACATTATTACAGTATTAAAGTATTACAGTATTCAATTTGATTTGATATTGATTGTTCAATCTATTGATAGATTGATTATAAATTAATAACATGTATTTTGTTCCATCATTTTTATGTTCTTTTTATGGTTTTATTCCACTGAATTTTAATATCTTTTATTTCAAGTTATTTTTCATTTTCTATTTGTTAATTTTTAATACATTTTTATATTCAGCTACAAGTACGAGAATATCTAGACAGCCCTTACTCCAGGTTACTAAAGAATCAAATTTCCCAATTTATGAAAGAGATAATTCATGAGTTCAAAATGTAGATACATAATACAAAGATTTAGAAAACTGTGGAACATGAAAATGATGTCGTTACAAAGCAACTAGTTCTACTAGTGTCTATATAAATTAAATGTGTCTGTTTCTGTAGAACACTTATGATTTTTTTTTTGATTTTCTTTTGGATATCCCTGCTGGATTCAGATGAGAATTCTCTCATTGATTGATTGCAAAATTTCACGGCTTCTGATTTGCTATTCGGTTTAAGCTATCAACACTCTGATTGGTTGCATTTCATACATTTTCCTAGATATTAATGTAAGATTAAGTTAATCTGCAGATTAATAAAAAGAGGTTGCTACGCTCCGCTAGTGTAAAGAAAATATATCTCCTCATTCCGAAAGTCGTCTTCTTGTTCCGTAGTTGTCTGGTAATCTAAGTGATAACTTGAGTCCGAAAGTCGTCTTCTTGTTCCGTAGTTGTCTGGTAATGTAAGCCTCGATACGTTAACGTTTATCAAATCGATGAACAAATTTCGACTCATAAAGCAACATTCTCTTCTATATATACTTGTCAATTTTTCTAATGTTACATTAATTTCAAAAGAGATAGATGCAATTTTCAGTGATTTTAATTCTATAGCTGGGTAGTTGGGAACAGATGGAACAAGAGTGAGATGGGATCATGGGGGTGAATTCCACGCAAATACCGAATCAAATAAAATCAATGGAATCGATTTAAATCTTTTTATGCGACTCAAAAGTTTCCAGCCAAGAATATATTTGCTTTTTACTTGAGCACATGGAACGCTTGAAAATTTAAAACGTGATTTTACCATCATAATTCCATAAGTAAAGTTTACAAATGATATATATATTTAATAAACTATTCTAAAAAATAAATATTTAAACTTGAAAGATAGTTTAGGTTAAAATCATGTTCTTGTTTACAGGAAAATATGTATTTTTAAATTTCTTATGAATATCTATTTTAAAAAGATATATTTATAGTTTAAATGGCACAAAAAAAGGTAGATTTGTATGCCAAAGCCAGCTGTTTTAGTGTCCACATAAAGACTGTCCGAATAACTTTTGGTGACTCTACTTTTAAAGAGTAGATTCACAACAGTACCCTTTAAACCTTTATTTGATCAATATGTGTGAGATATCCTCGTTTTTCTAGCTTAAACACTCACAATATCATCCCATTGTCTCTGGGGCAATATCTAGAAAAATGTAATAGAAAAATTATTATAAAAATTAAAATTTTCTAATGAGCAATCATGAATTTTTCCTTTCTTCTTGATCAGGCAATGGTTTCCAAGTACCGTTGTGGATCGTACATGGTACGTAATGTGTTCACAAAAAATAAAATAATTAGGATCCTTGGGAGAGAAGTTTAGTAGAAGTGAAGATGAGTAAACTAGATCAGGCTGGACATGGTCTCTTCGCCAGGTAAGAAATAATTTCTGAAGCTTCATGACTCCTTTTTTGTTTATATTTTTGTCTCAAGCATCACTGTAAACACTCTGGTACATTTCTAGTACCTGATCGACTATTAAGCCGCTAGAGCAAGCTGTACAGTACATGTCATGTTAGGCAAATCGGGGACAGTATTTCAAATAAATGATCCTCTTCTAGTGAAATTTGTATGGCATTCTTCTAAACTGTACCTGAAAATTTCGTAGATTTCTTTACCAGTGAAATTTATGAAAATAAAAATTTTCCAGTAAGATCTTTTTCAACCCTTCCCTAGCACTGCGGCTGATTCTTTACTACAGGGAAAGTCATAAAACTGTTGAATAGAAAGAGTTCTGTTTATATCTAGATATATATGTAATATTAAACCCAATATCATTTATATCTCTGTAACCCGTAAATATACCTTATTTATTTCCTTGACACTAGTTGCAATCAATTTATTTACCTTTTTATATCTAAATACAGACAGCTCAACACAGACTCTTGTTATTTATGGATCATATATACCTGGAGAGGATAGAGTTTGTGATAGATTGAAACAGCACATTTATGCTGGTAAAGACTAAGAAGGAGTTTAGGTATTTTCTACATCTATATGAGTTAAGTAGTCCATGTTTATAGCTAGTTATCTATATGAGTTTAAGTACCATGTTTATAGCTAGTTATCTATATGAGTTAAATAGTCCATGTTTATAGCTAGTTATCTATATGAGTTTAAGTAGTCCATGTTTATAGCTAGTTATCTATATGAGTTAAATAGTCCATGTTTATAGTTAGTTATCTATATAAGTTAAGTAGTCCTTGTTTATAGCTAGTTATCTTTATGAGTTAAGCAGTCCATGTTTATAGCTAGTTATCTATATGAGTTTAAGTAATGTTTATAGCTAGCTATCTATATGAGTTAAGCAGTCCATGTTTATAGCTAGTTATATATATGAGTTAAGTAGTCCATGTTTATAGCTAGTTATCTTTATGAGTTTAAGTAGTCCATGTTTATAGCTAGTTATCTATATGAGTTTAAGTAGTCCATGTTTATAGCTAGTTATCTATATGAGTTTAAGTAGTCCATGTTTATAGCTAGTTATCTATATGAGTTTAAGTAGTCCATCTTTATAGCTAGTTATCTATATGAGTTTAAGAAGTCCAATAAACATGAAGCACGCAATTGTGCGGTGCATACAATTCATTTAACTTAGCAAGATGATTTTTTAAGCTGTTATAGGAAAACATCATCAATTTATAACATCATTCATTTTATATGTCGTCTTCCTATTCCAGAGTTTAATGGGTCTTACTGTGGTTTTCATTTAGGGAAGAGATACCGAAGAAAACAGTGGTAGCTCTGTTTGCAGGGATACGATTAAAGGTAAAATGTAATTATCTGTCATGTTAATTCTATTCCATTTCACCCAGTATATATACAGTAAGAACCAGAAATTTGTAGAATGAATATCATCTTTGTTCTTTGTCGTACTATAAAAGTTACAAAGGACTTTGCTCTCCGCATTTGTTGCAACTGATATATTTCTAAATATGTTCAGAATACACTTTTCACAAATATTTAATGTTAATTGAAATTTGACAAATAACTTCGAAGGACTGATTCAATTATATTCAAGTAAGAAGATTTACAGATATCTTTCAGGAGCACCAGTTAGCGAAACATAAGAAATCTAACTATAGGATAATACTAAACTCAGCTATTAATCTTGATATTCCTCAGGTCTTTCTAATGTTTTATCTTTTTATTGTGTTAACTTGTTAATCCAATGTCTTGATATCTTTTTTTTCTCTTTTCATCTAATAAAACGATGACCCGATTTTTAGATTTTTCGAAATCTACGAAAAAAAAGCAATAAATTCGCAAATTGTTTTGTTATTGTTTGATAATTTAAGAAAAGAAAAGGCCTCAGATAGAGGAGAAAGTTAAAAGTTTATTTATATTATCAAATACCTTTTAATTTATGTCAATTTCAGGATTGTATTTGTATATCAAATTACTGTGCCACATTAGCCCATAAGGTAGGCNGATCACCTTCAAGTTTTTTGTTTTAGTTTTAGTAAAAAAGAATCCCGAATTCACCCATAATAATAATTTTACCATTATTTACTTTTACCGTGTAGGGTTTCCAACGAAAGAGGAAAATTCATCAAAAATGACTAAATTTTAAGATTATCAGACGCATATTCCGCAAAAATGTTCGCGAAAATATTTTCGCGAAATGCGAAATTTTCGTGAAATACAAACGAAAATGTTCGCATTTTTTCGTTCGTATTCTTGCGAAACGTTTTGTTTGCTGGAAACCCTACTTTTACGACGGAGTTTTAAGCAATTATTGTAAAGCAGTAGTTGTGACAACCCAGAGTAAAAAGTGCGTTTTTTTTATAATTTACTCTTGATCTAATATGTTAAATTTATAGCTAGTGGCTGTCGATAATCTGCGCATAAAAAGTGTTGAAACCATAATAAAAAATAATTTTTCAAAACAAATATCAGAGTTTGGTGTGAAATTCAGTTAAAGCATATGCTCCGACCGGCAAATGACGTCATATGTTTATAGTATATTCTTTAATTGACTTGCACGCGACATTTTATCTAAAAACTCATTGTTTGTTAGTGTTCCAAAACTTATTTTGAGAAGATTATAGTCAGCGGATGTCTAAATTAATGCTGCACTCGTCTATAATTTGAATACAAGAGTACAGTCTTTTTGCCGAATGGGAAAACGGGTGAGGGTCGGACGGCATAGGGGTAAGCACAATCCGCAAATCCCATTTTGCGGGTCGTAGGTAAAACGACATTTGCGTTGCCTTCCCCCCAAATTTAGCATTGTAAAAAGACCCATTTTACTAAATACTTTTACTCATAGCTTAATTTATTTTGTCAGGCCAACCATTCTTTTACTCCAAACAGTGAATGGTCAATCTTTGAACATCCAAGATTTGGACTTATCCGAGCCATATCTGCTAAACAAGATATCCAGGTATACAGTGAGAATCAAAAAAACTTTCTTTAGAAATCATAATTGAAACCTACGAGTTGTTTGTACGGTGTATAATTTCTAAGTAAAAGCACAAAATCGATCTTTAAAATCCTCTTTGGCGGTAGCTCCCAGGCAGGTTGTGGCTCGGCACAACCTGCTGCAGGGCATCCGCAATTGTACATCTGACATCATGTTATGGGTCTCTAATGATTCCTAAAAAGTTTCTCTACAATGTGCTGCATTCCTAGCTCAACTACCATGTCTAGCCAGACACTCCCTTTTAACCTTGTTTGTTTACAGGTTGGAGAGGAGATATTGGTAAACTATAATATAGAACTATCTACAGCTCCTGAGTGGTATAGAATACTCTGGTTAAGGTAAAGAAAACAAACATATCTTTGTCCAATGAAAAGTATTCTAATAATATAATTTAGAAAATACTTTAAGTTTTTTAATTCCATACCTCCCAGCGTCAAAACAAATATTGCATCTTTACAGTGGTAGCTATAAGGGGGGGGGGCAATCCCTCACTAGGGTTTCCACGAAACAGTAGATTCTCTTCGATTGGATCGTTCAAAACCCTACCCTCTGAATATATTTGGGTCGCAACAACGGCGGGAGAGCTTCTATAGCTTATATCATTTGATTTTTAAGAATTTGGATCCAAAGAGAGGAGGAAGAAATGGAAAGGGGCACCACTTCAACCCCTTGCTCCTGTTTCAATAAAAATAAAAATATCATCGGTTTGAGAAAAAATTTTATAATGAAAAAAAAACTAAAAAAACCCTGCTGCAGATTCTATTTCCGTTTGTGTAATCTCAATAATGCATAAGATAAATTCTGCTCCAGGCATCTAATGGAAGACAAGCACTGGACTTTACAGGACGTTGAAAGGTATAAATTGAATCAAATACAGATTAGACGAATAAAACAGACTACAGGAGTAGGGAACGACAGGAAAAGGAAATTATATTAGAGGGGAGAATAAGGATAGGGAGGAAAGGGAGGATAGGGAGGGAAGGTAGGATAGGGAGGGAAGGTAGATGAAGGATATGGAAGGAAGGAAGCTGAAGGATAGGTAGGGAAGGCAGATGAAGGATAGGTAGGGAAGGAAGATGAAGGATAGGGAGGGAAGGAAGATGAAGGATAGGGAGGGAAGGAAGATGAAGGATAGGGAGGGAAGGAAGATGAAGGATAGGGAGGGAAGGAAGATGAAGGATAGGTAGGGAAGGAAGATGAAGGATAGGTAGGGAAGGAAGATGAAGGAGGGAGGAGAGGTGAAGACTTAAAGTATCTGCAAAGAACCCCTAAAAACAAATGAACACAAAAAGTATTTGAAACTTTAGATTTTTTCTCATAGCATCAAATATTTAGATTTATGGACCGACATTATGATCTTTCATTTAAAAAGATTCCACTTCCAACCTCACTAATATTACAGGTTATAGTTTCTACTTTTACTATATATATAAAAAGTAGTACTCTCTGTTTTTTTTTTTTGTATTTCCGATCATAACTTATGAACCCCTTAACCGATTTGCCTCAAATTTAGACTGAGAAAATCGGTAGAACCACGGTAATGTTCTTAGATTGGGTTCAAAGTTCTTAGTTGAAAATGTGGACTCTTTTAAAGTAAATTTTGTTTCCAGACTAAGCTGAGTTCACAAGCTAGTTTTTACTATACAGTATATCACTTTAATAAATAATCATTATTTTATCATATCGTTTGATATGCATAAAGCCATAGTTCAAACATTTTCATTTTTGGAGGTCATTTAGGTCATGAGAGGTCGTAAGAGGTCATTAGAAGGTAAAACACTGGATTTGTTGCTGCTACTGGATTCCCTGGGTTCCCAGCTTTCGTTTGATATGCATTAAGCCATAGTTGAAATATTTTCTATTGGTGGAGGTCAGTAGAGGTCATTAGAGGTCATTAGAGGTCATTAAAGTTCAATTTTATTTTATTATAGGAATTTCGAACCCTAATTAGGCGCGCACCCAAAAAATTGGAAGATTTGAACCAAAAATGAAGGCAGGGCCCCCCCCCCCCTACATCAAATGTGCCAACTCCACCATCCCCTTTACCAAAAAGCCTAATGAAATTTCAATATGTTTTATAAATTAATATAATTTTTTAAGGTACCTACCCCTTTCGGAGCTTCAACAGAAGAAGAAGAAGAACAAGCGGTAGAGGAAGAAGAAGAAGAAGAAGGAAAAGAAGAAAAATATGGAGAACGAAAAGAAATAGAAGAGAAGTAGGACTATACATGAAGTAGAATCTAGGAAAGGAAAAAGGATGAAGACTGAAACAAATTTGTGGCAAATTTGTTCATTGAAATAAAAACCAACAATTAACTTGAAATATTGTAAGTTCTCCGTGATCAAAGAAGTATATAACCATGTGTTAATTTTTTTAGTGGATTACATTTCTATCATTCTTTCTTATTTTTTATTATTTGGTGTATCTCAATAACGAGTATTGCAGAGGAAACGGATATATTCTTTAAATGTTCAATATCCGACCTTTTAAAATTCAAAAACCTTTCAATATCATGATATTTTTACAAACATATGATTATACATCAATTCAATGCTTTTCAATTTTTTTCGGATCACTTAGGTCCCATATAGGCCTGCCAAGTTACTGAGCCTTTTCTGAAGCAGTTAAAATTTATATGTAAACCTTTAAAAACTTTCGTAAATTGATGGCGGAACCTTTCTTGACTGACTTAAGAATAAATCTACCTCCTAGAGATGCTTCACAGAGCTTGCTAAAAAAAAGGTTAACGGGACGATTATTCCAGATCATTCCAATCAATTTACATTTGACAAAATTGTCCCGTATTCCATATCTAAAATACTATTTGAAAATATATTTGAAAATCAGTTTTAATTTTTCAATGGTTTTTAATTCTGAACAGCTTCAGGAAAGGTTCCGTAAGGTATTCAGGGCTCCAGTACTAAAGGTAGAATTATAAAACATAAAATGACAAAAGGTATAAAAAAAAACAAAAAATAGAATGATCAAAAGGTAGAAAATTTAAAAGCTAGAACGTTCAAAATGTAGAATTTTCCAATTTTTTTAGAAGCAAAATTTTTTTCATTTTTTCAGGAAAATCTGAAAAAACTTTTTTGAAAAATTCCCAAAACTGCATTTCTCGTTAGAATTAAGCATGGAGCGACTGCTACAAAAAGTAGACAGTCACAAAAATGATACGTTATGTTGGGTTAGGGTTTGTTGAGACAATATTTGGGCCGAGCACTGCGACTAGGATGGACTAGGGGGCCAAGCGCTGCAGCCTCTAAATGTTGACTGTTTATTTTAATTTCACGCTTTTTATTTAAATGTTGTAACTGTAATAGCGCGCCTGTTCTAGCCGTGGCGCTCGAGCCAGAAATTTTCTAAACTTAGCCTAGCCTAACCCACCCAAAAGAAGATAAGAGACAGCACATTGTTCAATATTTAAGAAGCCGCAGCCCTCGGACCAAAAGCCCATCCTAGCCGCAGCGCTCAACCCAGAAATTGTCTTAACAACGACAGCTAACCCAACATATTGTAACATAAAAATAGGAAAAATTTTCCTGTTGTATGTTCTACCTCTTGCCATTCTACCTTTTGTCATTCTACCTAATTCTACCAATTTTTGTACTTGAGCCGTCGTTATGGTTCTATAAAGTGCTCCATAAAAAATATCCTACAATTAAACCCCCCCCCTGGTAAATTCCTAGAGAACGATTTTAGGAACCCCCTCCCCCTTCTATCAATTTTGTACATGGATCTCATGTTACAAATGGTTATAATAGGTCATGTGGCCGCAGCGTCCTTTTAGTTATAAAATCATAAGTATAATTTATTGGGAAACGTCAAACGAACGCAATTTTTATTTTCAACTACTAAAAATATGATCGTTGCAATTCAGAGTAAGGTTTGACTAAGACAATTTCCGGGCCGAGCGCTGCTGCTAGGACAGGTTCCCTCAACCAATTTAGCCTATTATAATTCCTGAGGTACGCTCGGCCTTCGACGCAGTGCTCACCTTAGGGGGAATTATTAGTAGGCTGAACTGGTTGAGGGAACTCGAGGTCACTTGTAAGATAATATTTTATTTCACGAACAATATTTTCAGAATTTTCATCTGTATGTACTTGTGAATGAATTGATAGGAATAAAAACCAAAGACTGAATAATGGCTAACCTTCCTAGACGTATTATTAAGGTATTTCAATATTTGTTAACGTTTTCTTTGTTGCAAAATTGTGTAATTGTATTGAAACAATAATTTGAAACACAGTTTTTTCTCATTACAAGTATTTATGATTTAACTCTGAATTGAGTATAAAATTATGTAATTTTAGGATTAAATGAATTGTTTATAAGTGACCCTAAAGGCAAAAATGGCAATGCCCGATTCACAATGGTACCTTTAAACGATTAAGATACCAATGTTTTTAATTTGGAAAACTGATCATTATCAATGGAATGGCGGTTTCTTTATTAAGTAACTTGCACATTTCTACTGCGGGAAAACATACAGGAATTGTTAGGAAAATGACAATATCTTACTTTTGATGATTGATACAGGTAGCGAGGTTAGCATTGTGTATCGGGCAATTTCATCTTTGGATGGAGTTTCACTTAAAATGACGCGAACAGTCCCTTAAAAGTATTAAAAAAAGTTGTCTATTAGAAATTAAATTCTTCCTCAATCTGCAAACATCGTTTCCTCCGTTAACGGGAGGGAGGAGGAGGGTGGGAGTCTGTAAAATATTTATCACTGTAATTTATATAATGAAATAATTTAGGAAACTCAGCGTCTGATGCAGGAACCCGTTCCTGGGATATCCGCTGTTCCTGATGACGGGAACGCAAGATATTTTCACGTTGTGGTCGCAGGTCCAGACGGTAGTCCATTCGAGGTAGGTCTTTCCAGTCAACTGAGTCGGTAGTTCCGAGGCGAGAGTCCATGATAGTTCTCATCAGGGACCCACTTAAAAGGAACCTCAATTTAAAGAAATAAACGTTCAATTTAGAGTTGTACTTTTAAACACCCAATGAGCAAAAAATAAAAGTATATCCTTGGGTTTTCATTGGAAATTGAACATTTTGCATCTCTATTAAAATTTAAGTTTAATATTGAATCTAATATTTATTATTTAGTGTCCAGTTTAAATCTAGCTAACTGATCACTCCCTTTCAACTAAAGTAAATATTTGATTTTATGAAGAGTGAAGTGTAAAATAAGATCTTATATTTAGCGTTAACGAAAAATTTTATTTACTATGTAGGGTGTTATATATAGGGTGTTGGGAAAAATTCGAATTTTTATTCAAGAGAAAGTGAAAAATTATATTTTATTTTTTGGGTGAATTAAAAAATCAGTTAAGTTATGTGTAAACTTGAAAGTTTTACAATGAAAAAAAAAAAATGATGAATTTGTAAGAAAGGTGAAGTGAAAAAATAGGTTTGACATTTAGGGTGGAGCAAACAATTAATTTTTACGGACGGTGAAGTGAAATATTAAATACTAAGTTTAGGATGGAGCGAAGAATTAGATCATATATTTAGGGTGGAGTAAAGAATTATATCTTAAATTTAGGGTGGAGTGAATAATAACATTGTATATTTAGGGTGGAGTGAAGAATTAGATTATATATTTAGGGTGGTATAAATAATAACATTGTATATTTAGGGTGGAGTGAAGAATTAGATAATATATTTAGG